TTGAAGCTGTACTGAATAATCATCGAGCTGGACTGGTGAGGAAGGCGAGACTATTTTCGATGCAAAATCGTCTTAAAATGATAACTAGCAAGCTTGAAACTTCACAAATGCAAAATCCTAGTTCAATTCTTCAATGAGAAAGCTTTTGGTATTTCTTGTTGATAGTTTTTGAGTACTTTTTTCTCTGTTATCGGCGAAGTACCCGCCATTTTGGATTCTTGAGAAAATTTTCAGTTCGAGAGAGACTGCAAACTAATAGATATGGCTTCCTGTGGTTCGAGAGAGACTGGAAACTTCGACCCGACAGAGTGCGAAGGTAAAACTATAGCTGGCTAGCACAGCAAGCCCGCTAATTATATGCATAGAATGTGTTCATGACATCTGACGTATATTTCTATAAATATCGAATGACACTTTCTCACATCGAGTCGTTATGAACACGCAAACAGGCTTACCGTTACAAAAATACAAGAGAAAAACATGCAATTTAAATAGATGAGAGTACAATACTGTGTCTTCTTTAAAAAATAACCGCAAATTTAGTACAGTATAGACAAGATTGTATGCTAGGTTTTATCGCTTTGCAAGCAGATACAATGAAGGCAATTATTGATTGAAAAAATACTTTGATTAAAATGGCTATAACTGAATACCCACCAATTCTATAAGCTTAATAAACCCTCTAGGTTCCTTGAGGATTTCAAAGTTCGGTTTTGCATTCAAAACAGGCATGATAAAAAGAAAAAAAAGCCGCAAATGAAGGCAGCTCTTCTGAATGTTGGTCAATGAACCGCCTAAATACTGCCTGCTGCCGAGTGACCCTGCCTTGTCACTTCTCCCATGGACTTCTGGGTAAAATAGCACAGGGATCCCACAATTGATTATTATATCGAGAATAATGGTCTTTCCGAGTAGAAAAAAAAAAAAAAAAGAGAAAACTTCTTGTACTGACACCTTGAATTTTTAAAAAAATTATCTTTACAATGTAAAAAATAGGCCTGCATGTGACTCAGGCCATTAAGAGATTTAGTCAACTTCGAATACTATCKTCAGTATACAACGTTTTTTGAATGATCTGCCTGTATAGGCTGCAACGAACTGGAAGCATCACGTGACGATCAACCATTACCTTGAGCCAGGTAGCACMGCTCGGAACGGGTCTCATGATAGGTTGAGAAAACAATGGACAAACAATAGATAAGTCTTCCAACAATATAACAAAACCTAACCTAACAATAGTGGTGCTGTACTTAAGGAGCAAYCAAAAAGCAGGTTTCAATTGGTACTGCATTACTGATTACGTTACCTATGAATACACAACAGGCGGTGATTCCCAGGGGCCAATAAGGAATCTAGTGATGATGATCATTCCTCCCGTGGGGCCTGACGCGGGGCGCCCTGTTTCCTGCCTACAGTAAACAAATCCATCTGAAAGATTCTAAAGAAAATTTTATCCACGACATGGAGCGGTCCTTAGCTGTAATCAGAGATCGACGTCTTTCTGTATACGTTTGACTCTCGAACGTCACTTTCTTCGATAAAATGTTTTTTTTTTATCAAAACTGTATTTTCAGTTGTATTTTTACGGCAAGGTTTAATATTAGAGCGAATTTCGTATGAGTGGGAAACGGACGGTACTGTACTGTGACCGTAATCGTACTGTAACCAAATTCTAGTGCCCCATTGGTTCACCAAAATTGTGCAGGCCAGGTGCGGTAACTGTGCGGTAACCATGCGGTAACGGTGTCCCACTCATACGAAATCCGCTCTA